TATCAGTAATGTCAACCATTATTCCTAGCAAWTGATTTTCTCACAGTAAGTGTTATATACTTTTCAGTTCAGTGTTTTTATAAATTTATGTACTATTTTTTATTTTATTTTTGCACTACAAATAATTCTTGTTTATATACATTAAAAGATCGTTATATTGAATAAAGAAAAAATATTTTAAAAAGTTTTTTTATTTAGTTTTTTAGTTTTTCTAAACAACTAAAGAATTATCATGTAATTTATTATGACTTCATACATCCATACCTATATTGAAGCTTAGTGATTGAATACTTTTATAGAATAATTGAAAAATGTTTATTATTTTYATTATATACACACAATGTTACTTTGTATATTATACATTATTAAGAATACGTAAATATTTAACAAAGACAAAATTAATGTTTTATAGGTAATTATTTTGTCGAAAAATATATACATTAAAATATATTAAATGCATTTTAATCAATAACAAGTATTTTTGCAAACAATCCTTATTAAAATTAATTATTAGCATTCAATGTTATACCATTTTGTGATGGTTTCTTTCAATTTAATTAAACATTAAACGTCTAATGTGATAGTGTCTGAAAATTGTATTGTTTATCATGTTAATAAATATTTTCATGTATTAATTCAGGTACAATATTGTTGATTACATTTTTTATATATATATATATGAATATACAAATTATTTGATACCTAATGGGGAATAATGTGGTTAAATAAATAAAATTTTTTCGATATTTCTGACACATTTAGTGTGTAAAAATAAACAATATTATATATTTTTATTTGATTATTTTGGGAATTTATCCTTTTACTTGGTCTGAATATAAATGACATATTCAAATATTTGTGAAGAGTTGTAAGAATGATCGTAGTAAGTGTAAATTGAGGACTAGGGTGGCTTACCTCAAATAGTTGGGAGAAGGCGAAGGAAAAGAAGATTCAAATATTCAATTAGATAAAAAAGATTTGCTTATTTTTTTGTGACTCTTGTACTTTGTAAGTATCCAACTTAACATWAATAGCAACWGCYATCCATTCTAACAATTAATGTTATTTTTTTTCAAATCAACTTCAATCTTCTGTTTTGATAGAAAAACCATACAAATAGAACTATTTACCCATTGTYTAACCAATTCCATAACTGTTATTACTTGCCACTTGCCAGACACACAATTGRCAACTATTGTTTTGGTATTCAACCAATTCAATAAACATTTTATTTTAGGAAATACAGTATGTAACAAAGATATGATAGAAGATCATATTTTTTGTATATTTAGTTTATCATATATTTCTGTTACATCTTGTATAAAAGTTATAATAAACTAATAAAATATTTAAAATTATTAATAACGATGAGATTTATACCTGAAGTGTCCGAGTGTGTACAAAAGAACAGACTACAAATTAAGCGACCATACAGATATACTGCAAATACTGCAATATAAGTCCAATATTATGTGGGAATTTGGGGTCCCCAAAAGGGGGGTGGGGTATCAAAAGGACCCATGGTACTGGGATCCGGGGTTCATGTAAATAATTATTTCGCAATATATATTATAAAAATGTTTCAAAATTACTTTGTATTTAAGAAGGGCCCAAATTTAGTTCTGTACCAGAGCCAAAAATATGATGTGGTGGTTCTATGTGCGATGTCAGACGAATGGCTTAATATTATCTTATTATTATTGAAAAAGACTATTTAGTTGGTACTTATAAAATTGAGCTTATATGGATAACTATTATTGTCGTTTATATAATAATCGGAAAAATAATTTGTACTTAATAAGTATTTAATATATAATATTATGCCGATTTATAATATAATGTATACTACCTAAATTATAATAATAAAATCTCATTAAAGTGTAAATGGCATCTCAATTAATGTGAATTGAAGGTGTATACCTACAACCTTCATCCTACATAGGTAATTTATGTTACGATATGATTATCCGACTATAAATAGGTAATAAAAAAAATATAAAAAAAATACCAAAACATATCTTGTAAAATAATATAAATGTATTTGTTTCTTATCATATTTTATTTTACTTTATGTATTAGTTTAAGTTTAGTATAATATATATATTGATATATCCATCCATATATAAATTATAATATTCATCATATACGTTTATCAATAATACCTAATTATAATATTTTAGTCTAGGTATCTGTACATTTATAATTTTTACATAAATATAATACAAATTTACCTAGGTAATATATGGATGTAAAAAAAAAATCGTATGACATATCTAACACGGTTTCATCATCTTCAAATTTTTTAATCTGTTATGGAATGTTCTTTATGTTGTTTGCGAACGGTTGTGGATCTGATTGGGCTTCACTGTTGCTCCTCGTTAATCGTTCCATCGACGCGTTCGAAGCCTTCGTGTCTTCTCTCTCGTCGTTTTCACTGGCCCCTTGCAGTGCTCGATATTTCTTTGCAATGGAATCCCAGTCTGTKACGGTCTCGATGCGGTTGGACAAGCTCGCAAAGCTTATTTGCGATCCGTACGGACTCAGGTGTACAACACTGACTGATATCGATTCTACGCGGCACGTTTTTGAGTTTAATCGATATCAGAATAATAGAATATTATGCGCTACCATTTGATTTTACCAATAATTAAATTGTTTTATCTTACCTCTAGGAACTACTTGAGCTTTTTTCACTTTTGATAGCCATTTGTTACCCATTCGAGTCCTGGCACTTACTCGTCCTTTTGTTTTCATATCGACCATCTGTGATAAACTTGGGCGCTTTTTTTGCCTAACTGTATTTAACAGTTTAGAAAAATTCGTAAGTGTATCCTGAATATTTTTCTTTCGCGTATTTTTACCTCTTTTCTTGCATATCTCTAGTAAATACATGAACCAAGTAGTAATTAAGTTCAAAGGTGAAGGTGTTGTAGTTGTTCTATGCATATTTCTAATCAATTTTGCCAATCCAAACTTCCATTCGATGTCAGATTGCGCCTATAATTATTTAATATGTGTTATATATCATATCTTATTGTGCACTTGGTTTCGTCAACAGGTTATTTATATAAATAGATGRCATTATTTATCTGTTCAACTAATTTTATCTACCATGCTCAATTTACCTGAATTCTTTGATAAGTATCACTCATCATAGCAATAAGCAAGTTAATTAGTACGACAACCGAAACTAACATATATATACCAAAGACAGCTTTAAATAAATAAACCGTCCACGGCGGCTGATCCGTGTTAGAAGCCTGTCTCAAKTCACCATGTGTTGCCATACCAAATACAGCGAAAAAAAGTAATTCAAATGCATCTACTGGGCTCATTAGAACTGTATAAACAAAAACAAAAAAAAAAAAATCAATTAATTTCGTTAGACGGTGCATAATTTTTTTTTTTTATTCGCATCTGATATTACCTTCTGTAAAGACTTCCGGCTTGTTTTTTTCTAATTTCTTAGTGATAGGATGGTTCATTGCGACAATTTGCATTGAAAACCCAAACACGAAAATGCTCAGTACAACAAGGAACCTCGCTAAATCCTTCATCAAATCGCCAATAATTATAGCCCAGGGTCCAAACAGATGATGGAATGACAGGAAGTCCAGAATCTGGACGCACGCCATCAAAAATGATATAGCGAACATTTGATTTCGAAGATACATGACGGTAGGAAGATATGGATTGGAAACGAGGCCACAAAATCCGACTAAATGAAATGCCACTCCTATCACACTCCATAAGAGAACAGCCAACTTCACCCAGCCCAATCCGCTTTTGTCACTTGGATTAGTTAGTTCAAACAGTAACAATCCACTTAACCAAACCTAATAAATCAATATAATCACKTGAAATGTTTGCATAAATCATATTTTAACTTTTGAATAACGACTTACCAAGAGTAACCATTCGTACCAATATGGAAATAAATTTTGCCTCGCTGCTTTATAATACGGCGTGATGGCAACCATTTGTAATAGAAGCATCAAGTAAACATGAGACGTCAAGTATGACATAAACTTTATAATCGGAACTTTACTATAATTGTGCCAAAGAGGTAACGTAAACACTATCCATAATGGAGGACAAGCAATAAATCCTAAGAACATGAGTAGTGTTTTCCAACCTGCCCAATTCAGTCTTCCTTGCCAAAGTTCCTACATTTAAACGTATGTTAAATTTAGACACACGTGTTAACTGATACACATATTATATATTTTTAATTATTAATGACTAACCTGTAAGTACCTTTGAACAACAGTATGAGCGATTACTTCTTTTTGCTCGTTTTCAATAAGGACGTCTAAAAATTCAGTGTTTCGTCTGTCTGAAGCTGTTAGGATGCGTCCTGCTGAGTCTTGACCTGCAGCTAAGGCTAAAAGTTCAGTTGCCATAGTTTCACATTGTTTTCCCGCAGCTATTAAGTCTTTTGCTCTCTCTTTTTCCTARTCATCATACAGTATTAGTTAAGATTACACATCATATTAAAATGTATTTTTAACAATTCTTATTTATAGAATACCTATCGTATTTAAAAAACGGCTCCTGATTATATGGGAAGTAAAAAAATACTTCAACTCGAGTTAAATATTTAAACCAACATTAACAATATACGTTTTAATAATTAGCTCTGGTATATATTATTATTACCAGTGTTTCCAAAATTTGTTTTTCTGACCAAACGTACACTATTATTTGTTACTTTTAGCTTCTAATACCTAGTTTGTAGCGTACTTGGGATAGATATTTTGTATTCCAAAATACTTAGTATTTTTAGGTCTTGAAAGAAAAAATACTCTGATGAAACTACAGACATGTATCCACCTCTGTTGATGAAACGATCATTAAACTGTTCACAGTAAATTAATAATGCAGCACAAATCTATACATATTTATAAATTGTTATATTCTGTGTTTAGTTGTATCTATGTTTATATTTAAAAAAAAAATTAGCAAATAATATTTTTTTATCTTTTATGAATAAAAAAAATTCTAATTTCCACCAAATTTTCATAATGCGTAGAACTTATAGTWACATACTTTTACGTAATGTACAACTTCAAAATGATTTTCGCTTATATATATTTACCAATTTAACTAGTTGCATATTAGTTTTATTATTTTTATTATTATAATATTTAGGTAAGTTTGACTTAAGCATACCACGCTAAATATGACTAAGTGCATCGTATTGTAAATCTCGCATAAATCATTATAATAAATTTGTATCTCTTATTCTATTGTCTATGTATACCTTATTTGATAAGTTAATGTATATACTGGAAAGTTTTGCTGCAGTGTCTACTGGTGCGGGTGATACTAAAATAAATTCTTCGATTGGTTTGTTATTATGATTTTTACTGCAAATCATTAGATTGTAGACAAACTAAAAAAAAAAAAAAAATGTTTGATATATTTTATCAACTAATTGTTTTTAAGTAGATATAGCTTAGATTTTGGTTTTTTGTACCCTTCTATCATCCATCAAACCATAAGTGTCGTGTTCTTTTGTCATTAAGTATTCTAATACATCGTTATGGCCCTCTTGAGCTGCAAACCATATAGGCGATGCTCCATAGTTGGTTTCAGCTTTTGGGGAGGCACCGGATTCGACTAAAAGTTTTACTACGTCCAAATACCCAGCACGTGCAGCGCAATGCATCGCCGTCCACCCATTCTGTTAATTTTATATTATTCGTATTGTAAACATGGAAAAATCGAATTCAGTTTTTTTTTTCATATAACACAAACTTTATCTGTAGCGTTAATTTCGGCACCCTGTCCGAGCAAGACTTCAACCATGGCATAATGGCCATACGAGGCGGCTATGTGCAGACACGTTTTACCATTAAGATCGGAACTGTGCAACAAGTCGGCCGCTCTTGATAACAGAAGTCCAACTACAGTCACRTGKCCRCCAAAACACGCCAAGTGAAGTGCGTTGTAACCCTAAAAGTATATGTATATAGGAATGTTTAATAATTTTAATAAGTCAATTTCATACCTATGGACATAATAATATCAAAGTAACTCATATAATTAATTAAAAACTTACATTTTCAACTGTAGATGCGTCAACTTGAACACCGGCCGAATTGAGCAATAATCGGACAACGTTTTCATTACCACTATAAGCAGCGAAATGTAAYGGTGTCATTCCCGATTCGTTACCCAGTACACCTAATACACTGACACCAGATGGAGGATCAGACTTGACCGTTGCTGGTATATGAGACAGTAATTCTCGGACAGTATCTAAAATTAACGACAAAATAATTCATAAYTWTGATCGCAGTGTTTTATTCACATTTATAATTTATTGTAAAATTGTTCGTTCATAGGGTAAGTACCTGTTTGACCACAGTATGCTGCCATATGAAGTGCCGTCATACCAAGCCTTTTGCTTGAAATTTTTAGCGATTGAGACGAACGTAATACTTCTAGCACAGATAAATGGCCATTTTGTGCTGCTAAGTGAACTGCTGTAAATCCTGCCTGGAACGTTTTAATTGTTGAATTTTATGACACGTGATTAATAAAAACAAAAAGTGTATAATTCGTTGGTTTWATCACCTTATTTTCGTCCGAACACGATGCGCCTGCCCTAACTAAAACCTTGACCACTTGAGCATGGCCACCTTCGGCTGCTAACTGAAGTGGTGTAGCTTCTGTGATACGATTTCGAGCAGAGATCACACCGTTTTTGTCGAATTTCATTAGTTCAATGATCACAGTAACTGAACCTTGCATTGCTGCTATATGAGCGCAAGTATTTCCGTCCTAAAAAAACATTGAAATGAATTGTAAATTCAACTTCAACGGTCTACGGTGGTAATATAATAGGTATTTACTTTAGTGCTAGCTAAAACTAATTGTGGATGTTGTTGCAAAAATAGGTGAACAACTTCTGGAAAATTGTTCTGTGCTGCAATATGAATGGGTTTTTGTCCTTGGTCATCTGTTGCGTCTATATTCGCGCCCAAATCTAACAGTAATCGACACACTTCTAGCTGGCCTGCTGACGCAGCTAAATGCAGAGGCGTTTGTTTTCTCAGTGTAAGAATATCGATTACAGCGTTATGATCGTGAATCAAAAACCTTTGGTAAAAAAAAATCGGTTTCAAATATTACTGGTAAGTTGTATTTAATATTAAAAAAAAATTATCTGTAGTCAACCTGCAAAGATCAGCAAAACCGTTCATAGCCGCTAAATGTAGCGCAGTCCAGCCAACTCTTGATTTACTGTTTATGAATGCTTTATGTGTCAGTAGAGCATCACATACCTATATAATGAAAATGTTTATTGCTAAYAAATAATAATATATGGGTAGGTATTAGTTGTTTTTTATTTCTATACTTTCAGGTATCCCCTTTCGGCGGCTAGATGAAGTGCAGATCGACCTTCGTTATCGAATACGTCTACTCTTGCATGGTTGTTTAACATGGTGTTCACCAAACTCATATGACCCCTATGACAAGCGATTAACAAAGGGGTCCATCCAACGCTGGACTGACGATTCATTGATTGTTGTATTTCGGTTGGTGACATGCCATTCAGCATTGCTGTAAGTACATCGTTGTTACCAGCTACAGCACAAAAGTGTAAAGCTGTTTCATGGTGCTAAAATAATACATGATYTATGTTAATGTGATAAGTGTATTCACTATTCACTATACCTATCCTTTTTATATTTCTATAAAAATTCTATGATTTTTTTTTTATATACTAAAATTGTTGATTATTATCTATTATTATGATTAGGTATTAAAAAMAAWTGTTAAATCACCAATGGTTAATGTATTGATTAAATATTTTATAAAAATATATTGTAGATACATTTTAATGATTAATTTGATCGTGTATATTTAAGAAGGAGCAATAATGGGTGTATTATAGTGTACACATGAGTTTGAAAGGGTTTTAAATAGGCAATTTACATATATTTTTATGAAAAATAATAATTATTTAACATTTAGAATACGTTTAAAAAGTAATTTACATTTGTCCTCGTGTCAGTGCTACTATTGATTGTTGTGTTGTTATTAAATAATTTAAAAACGCTTTTTGCCCTTACCAGTTACCAACATCATCTAAAAAAATTTTAAATTCATATATATATATATATATATATATTATGAAATAGAAGTCCCTTTTTTTGTATTTACACACATATCTCAAAAAGTACTCATCTAATTTTAATACAGCGGTTACTAAAAGATTTGGYGARTCTCTGGGAAAGTTTTAATGTATAATATGTCTAAGAAAAATTAATTTGATTACCTATCAAAAATAATAATAATCTGTCTTTACTTATAAATAAAAATGAAATGYTATTTTTTGATAAATGGTAATAGTGTTAATWAAATCAGCTGGATCAATTTGTCTCATTTTTTTTCATTTTTTTGCTGTAGTCTGATTTAAGTCTTAACGAAGGTAATCGAAAATATTACATTGGAAAACTGAAAGTGCCTTTTTGACTGACTGATCGATGTAGAATCTAAAATAAGAAATCTGGAGACTTGACATTTTTAACCTTCGTACCACTCATTATGTAGAGAGTGTATTAAGAAAGGGTTTTATAAAATTCACATTTTTAAAGGGGTAGATTGGTAGGTAAGTACTCACAATTAGCCTTAGGGATTTACGATACACATTTTTTTTGTTCATAAATAGTTGCCATTGGTTACATATTGCAGATTATAATAGTAATGGTAAATATAAGTTTTATTTTTATTTATAAATATTAATAAATGGTTGCCATTGGTTACTCGGGCATTTAGTAAAAGCACGTATTAAATTATCACAGTTATATAGCCTCGAATAAAGAAATTGTTTCTTAAAATAAATATGATAGATCATGTTTGAACGTAGCTTATACAATCAAATAAAAAACTTGACTGATTTTATGAAAATTAAAAATTGGTCTTATAGATATTTAGAGAGAAATTTGAACCACATTCGATTTATACTAAATCATA